AGACGCTTAAAGACTGAGCCACCCAGGTGCCCCATACTTAATTATTTTAATGAGTATCGAGGAGCTCTGAAATATATACATATTTTGTTCCTCATCAAACTGTGGACCCATGGTTTCCTGTTTTATTTAAGGGCTAACTCAGTACTATCCTTATTTATTTTAATGTTCAAATGGTCTTAGTTTGGCTGGCTGGAGCTCCTTCAGGAGGTTGGCTTCTGTGTTTTTTTGGGATGTTCCTTTTACTCTGTAAGCTTGTCTTTGTTCTCTGGGCACAGTGATGTCCGGGCGTATCTTTGTGTTTATTCAACCCCAGCTCTGGAATCAGTCCTTTCTCCAAGGTGCCCCAGTTATTTTTAGTAGGGAATGGTGTACTTTTCTTCTTTAATTTTTTTCTGTGAAGAGAGTTTACTTTAAAACTACAAATGTCACTGTCTTGTACCAGTTTTCCTCCTGTGGGTATTTGTAACTCTGCTCCAGAAACTGGAGGTGATAGGGTATGGGGAGTGATCCCGCTGAGAGTGAGGAGAACCAGTGGTAGAGTCCAGACCCACCCCCTTGGCACGAATTCGCACCATGAGTGCATCCTCGTGTCTCTGACCTGGGTTCTTCAGGGGTACAGTGGAAGGACCGGAGTGGATTCTGATCGAGGCCAGTCCCGGGGCTCTCTGTCTCGTCACGGCTGTTTGCACTTGGCACATCAGATTACCCCACGCCCGTCTGGGGAGAAGCTGCTGGTGGGGAGGAGTCGTGTCTTCTTCATGCCTTTGCTCCTTGTTTATTTAATTGAGTTTGTACAAAGTTACTGCCTGTCTGTTTGGCGAATCTGATTGTCCACAGCTGGGCTTCTTGTAGGAATAGCGATGTGTAGTTGCAAAGGGAAGTTCCTTGACTGTGGAAGCCACATGCTCCCCGCGCCCTCCCCTCCGTGCGGAGCCCCGGTTTTCTCGGCAGCATTTTATCTGAGTAGCCTGCCTTCATTAACCTCTCATCTTGGCCCTCTGAAGGCTCAATAGACTCTTGAAAACAGGACAGAGGCACTGTGCTAGTTCCCACTGCATTTTTGTGGGTCCTTTGCCATTCTGATGAATGACCCATCTCCAGGAGAATCTTTGGCTGCTTCTACCAGTTGGCTCGTTCTGCAGTGGTTGAATCAGAAACATCAGAAAAATAAATGCCATGTGAGCGGTCATTGTTTAGCTAGGCAGCTCGTGGGTGGGGAACCCATGTACCTGAGCATAAACGTGTGTGTGTCTCTGTTTGTCTTTCTAGAAGGTCTGGCTCCCCTCACCTTTACTTCTTCATTCCTGACTCTTATTTCATTGTTAATACAGAATATAAGCAAAGGTGCAGATTCACAGCCTGAAGGAGAAGGCAGCCGTCCATCCATGGACTTATTTAAGGCCATCTTTGCCAGCTCATCTGATGAGAAGTCCTCATCCTCTGAGGATGAGCAAGGTGACAGCGAGGATGATCAGGCAGGTCCTGGGGAGGCTGACTTCAAAAGCTCCCAAGAGACTGACTCGGTGGAAACCTCATCTGTGGCACGCGGTACATGGATACTTTAGATTTGGGGATCTAAAGAAGAAAATGAGGGTGTCTATAGAGAAGCTGCTTCTTTGTTTAGTGTGCAGTTCTTTTTTTTTTTAATTTAAGTTCAGTTAGCCAACGTATAGTACATCATTAGTCTCAGAAGTAGCGTCAGCAATTTCTCAGTTGCGTGTAACACCCAGTGCTCATCACATCACGTTAGTGTGCAGTTCTAACCCAGGATAATTAGCAAGCAATGATGTTTTAATCTTTTACATTTTTAATTGTGGCATCAGATATAAATTTCTGGTGTATTTTTAGGATAGCTGTGTTTGATAATATTGATTTTCCTTACCCTAGTTGAGAAGAATTTAAAACTAGTAAAATTTTTGTTTAAAAAATAGATTTTTTTTTTTTGACCTGGTTGATGATGAGGTGCTAGGATTATTGGCAGCATTTGGTCCTGAGGAATACAGGGGCTCTTCCCCGAGCCGTGAGTTTTGGCACAGAAAAGGAGGCCCTTTGGCGCTTGCAAGGGTCAGAGGCTTTTCAGATGCTTGGGTGGGTGGACAGAATTTTCCATCTCAGCCTTTGGGTAGTCTGTAATCCCTGTCAGTCTGTGGTGGACTTGGGTATAATATTTTTAGTGTCTTTAACCAAAAAGTTGCAAAGAGATACAAAATATTGTTTAGTCTTAGGTGATTCACAAATGCCTATTTCCTATTTCTGTGGGGGGGAAAAAAGCCACCCAACTTATTTTTTATTTCAAAGTGATATATACTTGAATTGTTAAAGTTTAAAAATACAGAAATGTAGAAAGCTTAAGTCCCTTGGAATCCCACTTCCCTGAGATAAACATTGTTAATACTTTGATGCATATTTTTCCATACTTTTTGCATTTTTCTTTCCACTCTCTGAAAACATATTACTCTGTTTAAAAAATGAGATTATTACTGTGAATATGGTAATTTGTTTATATTCAGCTTTTCCCCTCTTTGATAATTTATTTAGAGTGAAATTAAACTTTCTGAGCTGGGACATAGTCTTAGATCCCCGTTGGTAAGTTTTTCTTCTTCTCAGAGGATATCTTTCCTTGAGGACATCTTTCAACCCTTCAGGTCTCAGTGAGGTGATCCCGAGCACGTGCTATACACACCCTGTGTTGCAGCCCCTAGTACACTTGGTTGCAGGTGGCCCGTGTGACTGACTTCCCAGCTCAGATGTCCACGAGGTTGGAGGTCAGGTTTACATGCTCACTGCTGTATCCTTAGCGCCTGGCGTGAGCTAGTTAAGCAAAGTGGTGAAGAAAAGCATGCATTATCTGGTGGCAACAGGTATTAATTGAAGAATCAAACACATTAGTATTAGTATAATATTATTTACTATTAATATAAATAGAATTAATACCCTGGTGTTTTTCAGCTAGCGAGCCGGCACCCCAGGAGCCCGCACCTTCCTTCCCGATACAAAAGCTGCAGATAGATGAAAGAGAACCCTTCGGCCCACGGCTGCCTCCCGTCTTCTGCCCCAGTGAGTTGAGAGCTCCTTGGTTCACCCATTTGTATCAGCACCAGTGTCTCCCCTGAGCTGTGACAACTCTAACCATGTTATCACCTCTACCTGTCTAATCCAACATGAGGCCAACCACATACATACAGTTGACCCTGAGCAAGGCAGGATTTAGGGGCGCCAACACCATGCACAGTCGAAAATCTGCATATAACTTTTGACTCCCCCCAAAACTTAATTACTATAGCCTACTGTGGACCGGATTCCTTACTCATCACATACACAATTGGTTAACACTTCTTATGTATGTTATATGTATTATGTACTGTATTCTTACAGTAAAGTAAGCTAAAGAGAAAAGCCAATGTTGTTAAGAAAATCACAAGGAAGAGAAAATACATGTACAGTACTGTGCTTACTGAAAAAAATTCACACATAGTGGCTCTGTGTAGACTCGTGTTGTTCAGGGTTCACTGTATATACATCTGTTTCTGGTTTATTTGTTCTTAGCCCCATTTTGAATCTCACCACTTCCACAGAGTGCCTAAATGATAGTTGTTGCTTTATAGCCTCCGAGACCTTGCAACTTTTTTTCTTTCTAACACTCAGATACGTACATTAGAGTCCTGAGCGTCTCAGATGTCACTTCGAGAAATAAAAAAAAGTAAAAATCTAGGACACAGAGATGGGTGAGGAATTGCAGGGAGAAAGGTATTCAGAGACTTTTTTATAGTTTGGCTAATGTAGCAAATAAAGTAAAAGTAGTTCTTTCAGAAGTAAACACAGTCCATCCTCCTCCCCCAGTATCAGTCAACAACGTCTTAAAACTGACATCTCGTTAAAATGTTTAGACTGGCCTATCCTCTCCTTGAAGGCCAGGTTAGCAAACATCTGATAACCTGGCCCAGGTATATAGATGACATAATTCTATTATTTACTTTATAGTTTCCTATAGCACCCACATATAAATATTGTTTTAGTTAGTAAAGCCAGTCTTCAAAGAGGTGATAAAAAAAGTGTGAGGTTTTGAAAAATTGCAGTGAATGTATTTCTGATTTGCTTTAGTTATTCAGATCTTCAGCTTAAAATAAGTGTTTCAACATCTAAAAGCTAAGTTATTTATGCCCATTTCTCAGACCATCTTTGATAGCCTTAATTTTGTCTATGGGTTATCAAGGGGAAATGGTTTTTCAAAAACGAGCATTAAAAAAAAAAGTTTGGGGAGGTCAGATTTTAAAATACCTGACCAAACGATGGGACTGGAGAGTTACAGGCACCTGCTCCCTGGGTTTGGAAATATCCATGCTTCTGAAACACCTCTCCCTTAGGTGGAAAAAGCTGATGATCTACCCTGCTTCTACTGTTGTTAATTTTTGCTGATTTGGTTACCTGGAAATTAATGCCCTACGAAAACATTTTGTTCAGCATTTGGAGGTGGAGAATTCAGGCATATGCCACTTGTTTGGTCATTTTTAATGACAACATACATTGTGTTGTTTTGATGCTAGTTTTCTAGGGCTTCAGTTTATAAGACAAATTCACATATAATGTGCTTTCATAAAGGGAGGAGTTGACATTTATGTGCCAGATTCTAGGCTATGGGATTCACGTGCCTGGTTCCATCCAGTCCTCTATGTCCCTGAGAGAACAGGGAGTCTTACTGTCTCTATTCATAGATGGGGAGACTGAGGCTTGGAGAAGTAGAGCAATGAACCCCTGCTGGCAACCTCAGCTGAGGTTCAGACTCTGTCTCTGAGCTTGCCCGAGGATATTAAATTGCAAAAGGCTTGTGCAATCTGGTCCACTTTTATCTTCATCTGACTCATCTAGCCAATAAGGCTGTGGCAAGATACTGGTTGGATCACACAGGTCGAGTATTGAGGTTTCTGGCAGTTTCTAAATATAGAGCTACCAGGTGACATGCTAATCCATTTGTTTATCAGTGAGGCAGGGCAGGAGTTCTGCCCTAATGTTAAACATTCCACCTACGTCAACGCGTTCCCAGTTCAATAATTTAGTCTTTCTTTTCCCCAGCAGTTCACGTGTGCATTACGTTTGCGTTTCAGATGTTCGTCAGACACTTGAGGCACCTCACAAAGAGAAACATAAAAAAAACAAAGAAAAACACAAGACCAAGAAGGAGCACAGACGGAGGAAAGAGAAGGTGAGTACCTTCTGGGTGTCCCAGGACCGGATGCAGGCTCTGGTGTCCCTGCTTCTGTCCTGCAGACAAGCCCCGCCCCCCTCGGGGCATGTGGGCCTCTGCACACTTGGGCAGAAATGTTGACATTCATGTAAGCCTTCAATTTTCAAGAACTTTCAGACAGAATATTTTAATTATTCAGTTGTACTTAGAACAGTTCTTTTGTGAACATTAAAAAGGCAAAAAAGGGGGCACCCGGGGGGGCTCAGTTGTTGAGCGCCTGCCTTCGGCTCAGGTCATGATCCCAGGGTCCTGGGATCGAGCCCCCCATCGGGCTCCCTGCTCCACGGGAAGCCTGCTTCTCCCTCTCCCACT